TTAAATATTCTCTCTGATTATACTTGTGAGGTACCTTTTAAAAGTAATTTTTTATTTAAAATATAAAATATCTTGTAATAATTAAATTATTTTTTTAATTTTACCTTTTTTAATTAATGTGAAAGTATTTAATATAATCATATCATGATTTTAAGTTAAAGGTAAAAATAAAAATACATATCATTTTTTATAATAAATTTTTTTAATATGCATAAAACAGTTAAAAATATTTTATAATGAGAATTAGAATGAGTAAATATCAAGGTTATTAGTTGATACAAACTAGCTAGATTTTACATGTCGTGCGATGCACAAGAATATTAAACTCTATTTCATCAAATATTATAGCAATGACTATAGTTTTAGAGTGATCACTCGGCACATTTTACTATAATAGTTTATAGTTGACAATTTACACATCTGTTCCCCTCTCAATTGTTATGATTAAGGTTCTAATTTTGGTTCATGTTGACATGTTTCTTGTCGAGTGTTATAATAATGCAGTGATTAGCTAAATACTTTAAATACTCGGTGACACAGTCACACAAAGACCTAGGCAACTCATTACTCACTAATTAAACAAACTTCAAGCTATGTTATCATGGCAGATTTTGACGTGAGGAACTTGTGAAAAATGACAACAAATTTTAACATTAGCAATCAAAGCGAAAACAACAAGCTCCATACAAAATCATTAATATCATCAATTTATATATATATATATATATATAGAGAGAGTAAAGCACAATATCAAAATATTGTTTATCTACAGTATTTTAAATAATATACTTTACTATTTTTTTTTTTTTAAAACTTGATTTAATAAAATAGTTAATGCATATTTTGATAAAAAAAATATAGATGTAGGTTCCATAATAAAAGAGAAGTGATGTGGGACCTACTATTCAAAAAAAAAATGAGCTCAATGCGGATCCGTAATTTAATTAATAAAATTTATTTATGTAGGATCAAAAATTTTTACTGCATATATTTTTAATTATAAATGTCAAAAATTAGACAAGACATAAAAAAAATAGGATTTATTTCTTATTTTCAAAGATCATGTGAAATTTGTAGTAAAAATTGATGGTGGATAATAAAAATAATGGGTATTAGATAAACAATAAAATTTCAAATTTTATTTAGACAACGTATAAAAAGTAAGTAGGTAATATGATAAATTTTACTTCAAAATTTATTTACTTAAAATATGGAATACCAAATTAAATTAATTTACTCAAAATAAAATATTTTGTTACTTTTAATTTTATATGTACAAGGTAATAAAATTAGAATAAAATTGATGAACTAATTTTATATGTTAATGATAATAAAATGTAGAATATTATCCTTTAATTTTAAGTTTAACTTTATAAGATTATATCATTTAAATGTTATAAGATAAGTTGAATGATTTTTAAATAATACTTACTTTCTTTGATCTTATTTATAAGGTAAAGAGAAAATTTTTATCCTATTTATACGTTATATCATTAAATTTTTATTATAATTTTTTTTAACCTCCACTTAATGTTGAAAAGAAAAACCATATGGTTAAAATATGTATATATTTAACAGAAGCAAAAATAATATATAGGTGTTAGCTATATAATAAAATTAAAAATTTATTTAGACTAAGTATACAAATTACATAGGTAACCTGATGAGTTTTATTTTGAAATTTAATTTACTCAAAGTAACAAATTAAAAATGAAATAATTTATTACTTTTAATTTTTATACGTATAAAATAATAAATTGTAGAATAAAATATAAAGGTAAGTGTTTTGAAAATAATTTAAAAGTATTTTATTAAAATTATAAATTTTAAATAAAAATAATTATAAATTATATCAACTAATCTATCTCTTATTATAGTAAATTTAAATTCCATTAATTAACCAATAAAAAATTCATATTCCATTAAGTTTGTTTTCATACATGTTGAAATATTATTTTAACAAATTTATATATTTAAAATTTTTACATAATAAATAAATAAGTTTTATAACTATTAAATTTAAAAAATGAATAAAAATTTACACGAATGTATTCTCTTTAGTTCTTATTATAGATATTTTTAACCATTTTATACATATTAAAAAGTTAGTTTTTTTTCTTAATGTCACAAAAAAAATAAAAAGTATTTTTATTTTTATTCTTGACTTTAAATTGTGATATAATATATTAAATATGTTCACATTAATCAAGAATGAGTAAAATTTAAAAAATTATTTAATTATTATAAGGTATTTTATATTTGGGATAAAAAATTACTTCTAAAAAGTACTCACTCCATTCAAAAATATAAAATATTTTTTAAGGACTTGAATATTTAAAAATTTAAAATATTTTTAGTCTTTTGAGGTGTAATTATTATATTTTTTAAAAAATACCTCTATTGATAATGACTTCATATTTATTGCATCCATATTTAATAGAGATAAATATAAAAAGATAGAATTAGTTTAAAAGTAGATAACTACTTTATTGAAAGGTGAGATTCAATTAAAAATATCTTATATTTTTAATAGAGGGAGTATTTTATAAATAAGATTGGAGGGAATATTATTTAAATGTTTGGGAGATAACATGAATAATTTTTATATATCATCTATATTTAAAAAAATATTTTGATCTAATATATATATATATATACTTAACTAATAGTTGAGTGGATCCAAATAAAAATTTAAAGGTAAAAAAAAACTTTGTATTTATATAAATTAATTTAAAAAATAGGTTTGTATAGATTTCAAAATAAAAAAAGAAGTATCCATGACTAGATAAAATAAAAAAAGGAGAACATATTTTACTTTAAATTATAAGTCATCCAAAATAATTTTTTTAAAAATTTTACATATTAAAATCTTCTTGTGTATTGCAGGGAGATTAAATCTAATTATTTTTTATACTTTCACGCACCGGATGATGAAATAAGAAGATTAAGAAAAATACCAAAATCTAAATATATCATCAAAACCTTTAATTTTTCACTAAAAAAAAGAACAAAAGAAAAGAAGCTTTGAAAGCAGCAAAAGCGGACGTTAGAATAGACCAAAGCTGGGAGTAGCTGGTGCGATCGCCAAGCTTCGCGCTCTGTGCTCGGCCGCTCATCACCACCGTCAGCCTTCGACGCCTTTGCACGGACTTTGCCGCCTCCGCCGCCGACTCTGCTTTCGAGGAATCATGGAAGAAAGCCATTCCCAATATGGAACCTCCCAAGACACTCTCGTCCTCCCTTACCTTCTTCCATTCCCTACAAAATCACTCTCAATTTCATTCTTCCCTACGCATCTCGGCGTTCTTCCAAGCAGGTTTGTTCCCCCCTTTCACCTTGTCATGCTCTTACTTTTCCTAGATTCTGATATTGATGTTGCCTGATTATTTCCTGGATTATGTGGAATGACGTTTGATTCCGTGTCATTTTTACTTCCTAATGTGGTCTGAGTTTTCCAATGAAATGCGGATTGCTTTGATGGAATGCGAGTATGTTCAATTGTTAATTTGGAGGAAACTTATCACTCATACCGACTGGCTAAAGTGTTTAATTAATTGTTTCTTATGCTGATATGTACAGATTGACATGGTGATTATACTACCCGCAACAACGAGCCAGGACAAATGGGTGTTTTAGCTGGCCATGTACCCACAATTGCAGAACTGAGGCCAAGGATAGTTAGTGTCTGTGCAGGAGGGAAATGAAGTTACAAAATATTTTGTCAGCAGTGGATTTGCGTTCATCCATGCGAAGTCTCTTGCAGATGTGATTGCTGTTGAGGCCGTTCCAATTGATCGGTCACAGTGACCAAAGCCTGGTCCAGAAGGAGCTCATTGAGTTCATGCAGAAGCTCACTTGGAGAAAGCTGAAGCACAGATTGGCATCGACGTTCACATTCCCTTAATTCTGCTCTCTCTGGCTAATGCCCATTTCGGTGATTTAGGATATTATTTCATTACGGTAACTTTGGGATGATATTTATGTACAATAAAGTATCCAGAACTTGTTCTTTCTTCGTTTCCTGCCATGGGGAACTTATGAACTTTACAAAGTTGTCGTCATAAGTTGGATATATCCATGTAGTCTGATCTCATGCTAATAAATAAGAATTGTATCCACCCATTTCCTCCTCTCAGCTAAAAGCTATTTTGAAATCATTTGTTTACGTTTCTCTTAAATTATCGGAACAAGTGACACAGTACAGTAACTAAGCGCCACGGGAGGGTTTACTTTCAAGATTGCTCATAGGAATTTTGTTTTGGTTAAAGCGATCGCAAGTATGTTGAAATCGGCAGTGTTGACAATGTCGTCTTACACGCACCACCGCCCAGGTAATTCCTCCCAACATCCGGATCTGCTCAGGCTTTCACGATATAAATTATGTTTATTTTGTTACTTCGTTTGATCACATAAGACACGGAGTATAATCTTGGCTGGAGAGTTGGGGTGTCGACTTTACTAAAGCTTTTCCAATGTTTATTTGGTACTCCATCCTGTTTTTACTATAAAACAGTTTTTATGCATCTTTTAAAAAAAAAGTTACCTTTTGTTTTAATATCAAAAAAATTGATATGCACCTTCATTTTTATCATTAATTGTTAATAAAAGAGATAAAATTAAAAAAAATTAATTATTACAAAATGCCCTATACTTTGTAGGACTGGGAGCATGCTAAATTAAGCTGCCGGTGAATCAATTGAATAGGTTTTGAAATTATCTTGTTTGGGTTCTGTACAGTTTGATTCCTACTATGCAACTTCGTTAATATCCTAGCTTCCATCCTCAGATTCATACCATCTATACATAGGTTTTCTCAATGTTGCAGCCCGTCAGCATAAAAATCCCCGACGAATTGTATCTCAATTCAAGATTTCTGTCTGGTTTCATTTAACGAGGAGTGTTGATTCTCCGAAATTTAGAAAGAAAGGGGGAAAAAAAAAGAAATTTAGACCAGGGAAATTTCTGGCCGAAGGAGGAGGGAGTGGGGAAGACCAGGGAAATGAAAGAACTTTGCTTTCCTTTGTTCTGGGTTTCTTATCCAAGATTTCCAAGACCATACTCAGCAAAACCATAACCAGGAACCTAGAGACAAAACCTTAGGAGAAAGACCAGACAAAACTGGGGGGAAAAAAAAAATAAAGAGCCATTTTGGAGAGAGCATCTCCCAAAAAACAACACACCACACCTCTCAACATGTGTACACCATGGACAGCAGCATTAACAAAACTTCTCCGCAATCTAAATGGATGGCCTTTCCTCTCCATCACTATGACCCTTCTTCATCGAAAGTTAATTCAAAGCTTATTTTAAGTCCTGTTTTTCTTCCTTCTGTATTTTTTTTATCTTTCTTGTTCTTCCTTCTGTTTTCTGTCCTTATTGTCCCCTTTTTTACATTCAGGCTTTCTTCCCCTTTCAGGAAAATATAGCTGCAGTGAGCAGTTCGTCTGTTCTGGCTCTGCACCCTTAGCATATTTCTGTTCAACTAAGAAGCAGCAGCGACAGTTCCTCTAACACACGAGTAATCCTTAGTCTTGTTTGGGGAGGTAGATTCTCTCTGTTCTTTGTTCCTCATAGCCTTCATCGAAGAAGACAGGTTCCTGTTCTTCTCCTGAGCTTCGTCCATGTCTATTTGTTCTTGCCTGCACTCTTCGCTGCAAAAAGGAGTATCTCCTCTGCAATAATTTCAACACAGAAACTACCATCAGAAATCAGCCACAAACACATTCAAACTCTTGCCAAACAAATGAGTTTTCAATATCAGCCAAAAACATTCCAGATGATCATGACAGAGAAAGAAGAAAAACAGATCCTCTTTCACTATCAGACATGCAAAAACAAATAGCGAAGTATTGCATATCTAACCTGTACATGAAGATGTCCCTATTATGAAGCGGCTTTTTGCAGAGATGACAAGCTTCGAGGAAGTGTGAGTGGTGATCTTCATATCTAGAATCATAGAATCTCCCAGATCTCGGCGACGAACCAGGTAGGCTTCTGAAACTAGACCTATTAACAATAGCATAACCCATAGATTTGGACACAAATCCCTGTTGGTAATGATAGTGGTTCTGACCAGAAGAACCAGTTTCCATGTCTGCTAAGAAAGCCAAGCCACAGCCCTCTCCCAAGAAACAAGTTCTTTTAGAGTCCATCAATGAATCTGGCAAGTTGAGGAGACCGAAGTGTTGTTGCTAGGGAAGAAACGTAAGAAAGCGGAGCGATTATGTAAGAGAAAGATGAAGCTGTATATATATATATAAAGGGATGTATGATATGGTGAGATGGGGAAGGTAAAGGCGAAGGCTTTTGGCTTTCTTGAATGCGTTAAGTGAGATAATAAACAGCGGCAGGTTGTCTGAATCCGTGCTGCTAAATCCATTGGCTCAAGAAACCTGCATCTTCCAGTTTTCATTATTTAATTCCTTCATTAATCATTAATTAAATATCCAGCTTTGATATTTTTATTTTCTAGAATATTACTAGTATCTTCAATTGGAGGGGTCCAAGGTGACGAAGTTGCCATGGTATAACCACAAAATTTACATTTTTGCCACTATGCGTGGTTAGGATGGAAACGCTGATCCCTTTTTTGATTATGAAAAATTTTTATATAGACCCAATTTATATATTATTCATTGTTTTTGATAAAATTGATTAATTCAACAGAATAAATTTTTATTATTTAGTGATTTTTTATGATTTTGCTTTTAGAATAGAATACTTTTTAATTTTTAATTTTTTTTACTATTATTAATAATAAAATTCATTTATATTTACAGCTATTTAAATAGTATATTTTTATTAAATTAAATATGGATGATACAGTGTATCAGATTCATATAAAATTCATCTTAGACTACTTTCTCAAGAATAACGAAGAATCGAGAACCGCACAAAAAACAAAGCAGAGAGGTCGGTGATGGGTTAAAACTGAAAAGGGAAAAGAGGAAAATAAAGAAGAGGTGTGCTTATTCCAGCCTATTTCAATAACTAGGGATAGCTGTAGTTTTACTTTTTACACGTAAAAACAAACACACTAAATGAGTTCAATCTAAATAAATTGGACAAGTGAAGTTGAGAATTTATAATAGAAATAAGATGCAGGATGAAAGGTAAGAGAAGTCAATCAAAATATGTACTCTCTATTAAAAAATATAAATTATTTTTAATTAAATATTATTTTAATAAAATAATTATTTATTTTTAAACTAACTTTATTTTTTTATATTTATTCCTATAAATATTTTAAAATAAATAAATTGATTCATTTAATAAGGGTATTTCAAAAAAGTTATAATTACAACTTGAAAAACAAAATATCTTATATTTTTAAATATCTAACTCTTTAAAAAAAATTTTATATTTTTAAATGAAAAAGTAAATGTAAATTTTAATTAATTGGGTTCAAGCCCGTTGCAAAGGCCCGTTTTTATTTAAAATAAATATATTTCACATTATGATATCACACATTCCAGCTACAAAAATTAATTAAAATGTTCTAAAGTTTAAAATCAGTGAAACAAATTTAAGCTTTAAAGCAGAAATACATCTTTTAAAGTCTACATTTTAATCCAAAAGTATCAACCATCCTTGATCCAAAACTTGGGAGAAGTAATCCAAGATACTCCCTCCATTTTAAATTATAAAATATTTTTAAATAAAATTTTACATACCAATAAACTCATTAAATACACTTAATAATCTTATTTTTTTCAAAACAAAAATGTAAATTTTTAAAAATACCTTTCATTTAATAACCTTCAATCCACACATAATTACTAATTAGTATTAAATAGAGAAAAAATGGTAATATTAGAATAAATTTATTTAATAAAACATTTATCTTCTCAAAGTGTCTTATATGTTGAGACGATAAATTCTTCAAAAATGTCTTATAATTTAAGATGGAATGAGTATGTATTACCCATGTATAACAAGTTAAATAAAGATAATTAAAAAACACACACAATCACACTTTTGCTAGAAAAGAGCAACTACAAGTTTAAGCAATAACTCGGACTCAAAATTTCAAGCATAAATGGATTGAATCACAAAATACCTAATTTTGAGCAGGGATGTTCATGAAATGAGATTGAAATAGTCTTGTCCTATGTCAAGTTTTGAAAAAAAGATTGGGATTAAATTTTTATTTCCATGTCTCGTCCCGTTAGAAATTAAAACGGGACAAAGATAAAATCGAGACATCCCACCTCTCGATAAATTAAATAATGTTGAAAAAAAATTTGGATGATAACATTAATTAAAATTTTAAAATATATAATTTATTAAGTTTAAAATTAAAATAAACGAGTACATAAATCACAACAATTTAAAATTAATTATTGAATCACATTAATCATAACTACACATTATAATAGCAATTATAAGTGATTTTTAAGTTATAAGAGTGGTAATAACACGCAAGTCAAGTATAATATCAAATCATTATTTTTTTACTTTAGTTGAGATGTGTTATGCTAATTATTTTTAAAAAAAATAAAAATAAAAAATATGATATAAAATAAAATTTATTAAATAAATAGATATAAAAATAAATTATATTAATATAATTAATATATATAAAAAAAGAATTGTCCACTTACTCTATGTCATTAAAATTATTAATCTAAAAAATTTAGTTTTAAATAATAATTGCACGTCTTGAAATTATAATTGATATAATTAATATAAGTATAAATTATATTAATATAATTATTATATTTAATGTATATTTTTAAAATAAAAATAATATATATAATATTTAAGATGAAACGAAACGTCTGATAATAATTTCATCCCATCCCACAAACTCTTTTCTATCCCGCCTCTAAGGTCTTGTCTCATTATTTTAATATGAAATAAGACCTTGTTTTAATATAATTGAAAAAGGAAATTATTAAATTAATTGAAATAAGTACAAATTGAATATTTTTAATTTTGAGAGTTGGGTCCCAAAAAAAGTTTTTTTCCCGGGGGGGCTCATGAGGGTATTATTGGGAGGCAATATAAGAAGTGGCAAGGTGGTAATTTGAGAGAGGGAAGAGGGGATTTTATGAGAGGGACAACCACTCTGACTGAAGTGATCACTCATGGTCATGGGTCCCATTCCCAACAAAACCACACATGTGCTTTCGGAGAAGAAATCCTGCGCCACGCTCTTCAAAGTGCGCGTGAGGTGATGGTCACACCCACCCATGGCATTATGTTCCTGCTCGTCCCGGAGCAACTTCGTTGGCTGTAGCGGTGGTTGTTTCGGTGGGTAACTAACCCTCTTTCCTGTGCTAAGTGACTACAACTGGTAACTAAACATTTAGCACAATCTAATTTCCTACCAAACAAAACCTTCTATAATTCACTTTGTTGGCTCATTTTGGTATCAATTATCTACATCCCAATTTATAAAATATTTTAATAAAAAATTTGATGTTTTTAAATATAAAATACTTTAATGAAAATAAAATTTAAAAATAATACTCCTTCATTTAAAATATAAGTCATTTTTAAGCAAATTCATCTTAATAAAGTAGTTACCTACTTTTAAACTAATCTTATATTTTTATTATTTAACCCTATTAAACACTCTATAGTAAATATAATGTCATTATCAATAGGAATACTTTTGAAAAAAAAAATAATGATTACATCTCAAAAGATTAAAAAATACATTTTTGAACGAAGGGAGTACCTTTTATATTTATCATTCTCATTATATTATTTCTTTTAATATTATTCTTTCAAAAATGAAGCATTAAATTCAATGAATTTTTTGAAGTATATATTTTTTATTTTAAAAAAATAAGATTATAAAGTGTGTTTAATCAATTTTATTAATATGCATGTTTTTATCTAATAATGTCTCATAAATTGGGATAGAGAGAACATATAACTATTTATGCTCTAAAAATTCTAATAAGTACTCACTCTATTAAAAAATATAAGATATTTTTAATCGAATCTTACCTTCAATAAAATGGTTACTTATCTTTAAACTAACACTATTTTTTATATTTATCTCTATTTAATAACGTGTTTGACTCTAAAAAAAATATAAAGTGATCTATTCAATAAACACTTTAAAAAATAATAATTACACTTTAAAAAACTAAAATGCTTTATATTTTTAAATATTTAACCCTTTTAAAAATTATCTTATATTTTTAATAGAGAGAAGTAACATTATTTAAGTCATTGGTAATATAATTCATTTATCAAGTTATGATGTTTGGATAGTTTTACTATAAATCCTGAATAAATATCAATTCATTACACAAGCTATGAGTCGAAATAACTTAGTTTTTATATCTTTTGTTAAAAAAATCTCAGTACTTTATTTTTTTAACTTGATTAAATTTATTTTATATAATTTTTTAACTAAATAAATAGAAATCAAATTGTACTGAATTAAAATTTAAGAAATAAATTGATAATTAAAAAATTTTAAAGATTAAAATTTACATCATCTCTTAATTATTATTTAACGAATTACAATGCTGAATTTTTTTTTCCCCAACCGTAATAGTTGAAATCGAACAGAAGACTTGAAATTCAGGTGGGATACACGCGCATCGGGTGCGATTTGGAGTTTCCAAGACACCTTGTTAAAGACTTGTTATTCAAGTGGAAAAGGCAAAATAAGAAAAGGAAAGGAAAGGACAAGAAACTTAGGAACAGTTTTGCCGCCCTAAACCCGCGGTTTCGCGAATTCCCCTTTCTCCTCTTCCCTTCCTATCCTCTTCTCCTTTCAATTTTTTTTTTAACCATTAACATTAATATTTTAAATGATTTAGATTTAAATTATTATGAAATATTTTTTTTTGGTTTTACTGCAGTTTTAAACTACTCAAATTAAAATTTTAATAATTTAAATTTAATTATTAACTTTTTTTATTCTTTCTTTTAAAAAATATAAAAAAATTTTAATTAAATATCACTCTAACAAAAATAGTTACCTACTTTTAAGTTAATCATATTTTTTATGTTTACTCTTATTTAATATCTTATAATAAATATAAAGTCATTATCAATAAAATATTTTAAAAAAACAATAATTATACTTTAAAAGATTAAAAATATTTTTTATTTTTTAATCTTAGATTTTTGAATGAAAGGAGTATAATTTAATATTTAAATAATGATTTTACAATATATTAAATTAAGTTATCTAAATATTAATTTAATAATTAAAAATTAAAAAGAACGGAGTAGGAGGAGGAGGATGGGAAGAGAAGAGTAGAGAATCCACTCCCCACTCTCCCATAAATAAAAGCAATGACGTCAGCA